TCAACATGTATGGTGCCACTTGTAATGAGGTGCTCGCACAGAATCTGTGCCGATCTTCGAAAATTTACTACTATAACGGAGACAAAGGATAAGGAGGATAAAGCCTTTAGAAGTAACCAAACTCCTAGATGCCATATACTTTATTTCCTGAACATCGAAGAGCACATTGAATATACATCGGCCTTATTCAATGACTTCCAAGGATCCACCGATGTATCAAGTCAGTGGTGCTATCTTTCCAAACAGTTCTGGCAGTAATTTGCCGACCACGGCGGGACGAAGGCGTTGAATTGTCTGGGGCGGGATCGGAACAAAAACGATGGATATATTGCAAAGCACCTCTCACCATTGCGTGAAGCACGCCTTACTACCAGAGCTGCCCCACAAAATTAGTAACGAAGACAGTAGACTCACTTACGTTGTTCGCCGAAAATTCCTCTACTTTCGGAATTGGTTTGATTGTTCGCCATCTAGTATAGTTATAATTGTACTCTCAGCTGTAATATTTTGTTAATAGAAGAGTTTTCTCACAAATTTTGTCCCCGTTTTATTACCAAGGGCAACTTCATGTAGCACTTCAAATCATGTCCCTACATAACCTCGTTAAACTCTTTCTAGTAGATAATGTCAATATTTCGGTTAATAAATTATTCGATGAAAAAGAACCTCTATGCAGTAACCAAATCCTGGTAACATGATTAAAGTCCTTGTCTATTAGTCGTAACAGAATCTTTAACAGAGCTGCCAAGACTCATCGGCATATATACTAAACTTCAAATGCAGCGACAGATGTCACACATGTTGCGTTGAAGTTCACAATTTCATAGGAACTATGTAGCAACATGGCACTTAATTTATTCATGTTCTCTTTCTGCATGTGTGCCTATATGCTGCTGGTATCGATGCGCCGTAGAGGGCTAAATCACATTGTAATTCCAGGGTTGAGTGATATATCAGTTTATCGATCAAGGAAGTGGTCAAGAAAACGGGCAGCGACAATTGGACGAGTTGTCCTGTACTGAAAATCCAGTCACATTTTTTGAACGCTACATGAACACTTTGATACCATCTTATCAAAAAAAAAGCGATGCCACAAATAGCAGTGTTCTTTTAGATAGCTATCTCCTATAAATAATCCTTTAGTGGCTGGGAAATTTTTTTATTGTAAATGAATATGCTGCTGACAATAATTAGTAGGTTTTCGCCTTTTTTTTTACTCACGGCAAAATGTTCTATGAATTTCATGCTTCAGTGGTTTTTCACATGCGGGTTAGAACAGCTTTTAAAGCTTTTCTGTAAACAAGCACTTTATAGCCCTTTCATAAAGCCTCTGATTGGCAGCCTAGTCAGACTCTGCTAGGCTTCTTCAGCTGGGTGAACGAATCCTTTTCTGATTAGTTTTCAGTAATGGCTCCTACGTCGTGTACTATGATCTGAAAGATGAAATGCTTTCCGTTACTGTAGTATTCGTTTCGAGGCAAAATAGAAACCTCTCCCGTCGCCCGTCAATTGTGAGGATCGATTCAGTTGAATTCACCATTTGTCGTTTACTCGTTAAGACTCTTGCTAATTTCTTTTGTTTAAATAGCCAAAAAATGCAGTTCGCACAGTGCTAGAGTCCAGACTATAGCACTCGTACCGGACAGAATAGAAACACTCGAACTCGGCTACCGTATCCGATTTCATGTGAACATGGAGGATTAAAGTGTGCAAGTGATCAAACCACTGACTTATTTCAATATTCTATCACAATTCCGTATAATTCAATCATTTCTTGCAATTGTTGTTCTTCATCTGTTGTTTTTTTTAGAATAGTACGTAGCTGTCTCGTGTTTAACTTTTTGTCTACATAGTTTTTAGGTACTAAACAGCGCTGGGAAAAAGAACTAAAGGCGTTCATACCTTATCAGGGTTATCAAGATAAAGGCAGATCGACGCATCTATTGAGGCATAAATCGCAACCGTGGTTTAAGAAACCAAACCACAATGCAGCATGAGTTCATCTGGTCAACAACAGACTACGATTGCCCTCAATTAAGAATGCGGCTACAAAACCCGCTCCCATACTATTTCGGGGTTTTAGGAAACAAAAAGTCTATCAAAGCGGCAAAATGCCAGCTAAATGTAGATATTTCCAATGACCAAAGCATTCGTAATGTTGGGCTGTGTCTCATATCTGTCTAAATCAGCGCAAAGGGTAGAGGATAAAACATCGGCTTTGATTAATCCCTTAGATATGGGCCTCGCATTAGATTCCATTAATTCTAGTAGAGGAAAATGAATGCACATTTAGCATCTACAATAATTTCCAGTGGTCTATCAGTGAATAAGTTCAGCGTTCATGTCCGCTCAAACAAGTCTGTTAGCAATTTGCTGGATCCGGATCGGTTTACTAGAGGTGTAGAGTCGGACTAAACTTACTACTACGAATACTTTAGTACATGAATGCGTTGGGCAGCGCTTCAAACCATTGCGCTACATACGTTAACGGGTTGGAAATGCCTTACAAAATAGTCATTACCACAAACGTCCCACCTCTGTCGTACATTATTTCCGTCGTCGACTCTTTCGCCTCTTTTTTTAGTGACTTCTAGAATTTTCCTGCATTCCTGAAGATTTACTTATATAAATTACGTTTTCCTTTTATGTTAAATGGAGCGCATTTTGTAAGAACCCTTCAAAATCATGTACAGTACCAGTACTCTTGTCGGATCCCTTTGAAATCGGCGTCTTCTTAACGGAATGAAATTGATTTAAGCGATAGCTTAGTAATTATCTGCGCTACTTTCTCGTAGTAAGGTGGGTTTTTTGCAGATTTATTATGATGGCGGTATCCAGGTAACCATGCTGTAGTCATATTAACAGTTATTGTTGTCCGACCAAAAAATCGTCCTAGAAAGTGGAAGACTGGCACGATTCTTTATGGATCTCTGGCTTTGATAAACTTATCTTATCTAAATAAGAATTAGAAACACAGTGATAGTATCTCAATCTGTATAAAGAAAAATGACCACGCGTGCGGCGAAGCGCTTATAGGCGCCGTGCGACACACACATAAGATCGATCCCCGCGCCCGTGGTTCACGAAGCCTTCCCTCCATTCGGAGTCGGCAAATTGGCACCAGACTTGTCTGGGAGGTTAGCAGCACTGACTCAATACATCGGTGGGCGCCGTGAGCCATTTTAAACGCCACATATGCATTCAGTCACCCTCAAACGATGCTTAATGAAATCCCTCAGGGATTGATCAGCGTCGACAGCGTTATCCTTCATTCTTTTTACGAAGAAAAATGCTTTGCTACGAGACCAGCACAGGTTTCACTCATTAATTCCAATCTATACGTCGTTTTCCTCATCCTAGTCATTTTTAAGTCATCAGACTTTTTAAGTACATCCGACTTTGTCATATATTGGACTTCTATTAATAGTTATATCAGCTTCAAAGTTTACTGATTCTGTAGAAGTTCTACAAAAAAGTCATTTTTATACAAATTTAGGGTTTTGTTAACGTGAAATAAAACTAATCAAGTTTTGTGAGAAAATACTGATTCAGAAACTTTGCAAACGATGTTAGAGCTCGGTCTGCTCTCTAGTTAATTCTGAATTGAATGTTTTTTGTTATGAACTTTCCTGTGGTTTGTGTTAACATGAAGACTCGTAGAAATCAAAGAAAAGCCACACTTCATCTTTCAGTGATTCATAATGTAAAATCATCGACATTCTCATGAAACCATCCAGCAACTTCTGCAGCTGTTTCTTAACCCACTATTGTAACATTTCCACCATTTTAACGTCTTGCGTAAATTTGATAGGTATCGATCGCTTCTGTCGACGTTAATAGAGAACCTCTTAATAAAGGATACAGGATAAAGCTCTCAGCGTTGGTCAATCCCTGAGGGATGCACCATGCATTCGACTTCACTAAGAACCATTGGAGGTGATTGAGTGTATATCTGGCCTTTACAACGATTCGTGGTGGCCTATCTATATCGGGCCAGTGTTGCTATCCTCTCAGACAAGTCTGATACCAATTTACCGACCAAGTGTGTATTGCAGAGTGCCTCCTACCGCTGTGCCACACGCGCCGTAATGAAGTAATAAACATTGAATTTTGCACATCAAAAATCTTGGCAATTGGTAAGTTTCTAAGGAAACAGCTTCCGCTTTTCCCTACATTTGCTACCCTTCATCAAATTTCTTCTAACCTTTTTTTTTCAATCTCACTAGGATTACTTCGACAATTATCATAATTACAGCAGACAAACAACCCACTAATTCATTAGGCGAAATCTTTGAATTATCTACAATACATACAAGCAACGCCCTTAAATTTATAATTTGAAACAAAAACCTTTGATAGATTAAGATTACAGAATGAAAACTCGTCCTTTAGATCAGACGGGTTGTCCAGCATTGCGTGGCTATCTCTCTGCGCTATACAAACGGGCAGTGTATAAATCTGTTTCTGCTTTTCGGTTTTCTTTGATATTTATATGTAACGCTGGGTTAATTTTTGAGCAAAACATCAGCAGAAACCCCTTAAAAAAGACAAATTAGCTAATTTTAATATTTTTAAACAAGGTAATTTTGAAGGGAATTCAAATTTCTTGGTACCATTCGAACTAGGAAGCTGTTACTTGTGCGATTTGAATTTACAATATAAGTATTTTCTTCATTTTTCCTCGTCCATGAAATCTCTCTACAAAAGTTGCGTATTTCGAAAGCCAATTATCGATTAGATCAGTTATGAAACAATTCCGACAAGAGCTTCGATTGACAGTTGAGCCAACTGTGAACCTTCTTTTACTCTTTGCTTCCACAATTATGTCGCCTATCTATAGTATTTCCTCATCCTCGTATCATTCTATTTTCCAGCGAGATTATTCGCGCTATTTATGAATTGCTGGCTTCTAATTTTATCAACTGATCGGTACTATAGTGAGGAATTACTGCAATAGAAATCTTTACCTCTTATTTCAAGCATACTTATAGGCGACGTCGATGACGATGCCGAAAATCCCAGTTGAGCCACGAAATGGAATGATTCGGGTCTACGACAATCAAGAAAAGACGTTCACAGACCCGTACTCGGCGAAGACAGTGTTTTTCTACAAAGAAGGCGATGAATATTTCACAGTAAGTTTCGTTCAGTAATCACAGTCACCATAATCTTTGGATTGGTTATGAAGAGCTAAACTAAGGCTCTGTGACTGCTTTTAAAACATTTTAGATAAGGTAAGGTCCCGCTACCCTTCATTTTCATCGAAATAAGCTAATCTACAAATTTTTGCTTAAAAGGGCCTGCCTAGAGATCATGGTAGCAGCGACTGAAATACCACCGATCAGTCCAAGACTCTAACTAGTTCGCAACCGTCTATGTACAACGTAAAATTGTACAATATGTCTTAAGGGTAGAGACGGTGATCGCATGAGTTTAGGAAGAGTGTATGTGATTTATTATAAAGCGTGCGGAAACGAATACATTGTCGAAAGCGGTGGACCGCTATGCGTCCGTACAAAAGAACACCTAGACGATAAGGCTAGTGCTAGATAAAACACTAAGCGAGCATAGGGCGAAGAGACATAACAGGGAATGCTTTGAAATGAGAGTTGCCACTCTCGCAAGAATCGGAAACATTAGCGCGCAAAACTCTCGAAGCGTTTCTGATAAATTCTAAGAATCCGGTAAGGAATCTCAGGAAGTAACGCCATGCTATCACGCGTGATCTTAGGCAGTATTTAAGACTGATATTTTAACGTGAGAGTGGCTCATTTCCTATCCATGTGGGCTCTGGTGGGACATGTGCGGTTGGTCTCCACGTCGAATACTAGGTGGTAGACTGGCAGAGAGCGGCGAAGGTGTGACGAAGTTGTTTTATTCAATGCGATTGAAACATAGACGCCGTCGTTTTTGTGTTAGGGTTATCGAGGTGTTCGGTTAACTATATTGCAGTTAACCTTGCCTTTCTAGGCTCCGAAGAAGGTGGAACCCTCCGAAAAGTTGGTTGTTACTAATAAATAATACATGATAGCAACCACGTGTGCAAAATAACAAATTACAACTCCGGAATTAAGATAAATGAAAGCAGATTCGAAAAATTAGTAGTGATAGCTGAGAGGTAGGAGAAGCGTAGGACTCGCATGGTGTGATGGTGAACGCGTTAGCCCCGGAAAGGGTAATAGCGCGTTCGTTCCTTACCGCAGACACCTGTGGTGCGGTGTTTTCCAAATATCTCAGCATCATAGTAGTAGTAATATCGTCGAGCAACAATGGCATCTAAATCCCAAAATTGCTGTTGATAACCAGACTTCCCTGAAAAGACATCGACTCTTTACACGTCCGTATGAAAGCAACATCGCTGATCATCGCAGTAGTTCAACTATCAGTACGGGTTCAGTCTCTGACACAGCAGAAGCTGGTTGGAAGTGACAATCGCTTCCTATGTTCATCACCTCTCTTGGAGTCAGTGTAGCAGTGAGGAAAACTTGAATAGTCACATTTCATAATTTTCCTTCCGAAAACAAATTGATAACGACAGCCGATTTCGTCTTTGGACGTAGAAAACGTGAACAGGTTGGCGAATTTCATCCTCGACTCTTTAACCATTGTAGGTTGCAGTAAATACGAATTCTTAGACTATCCACATCTTTAATATCGTCCAAACCAACGCTTCTCCTGAGCGATTGCTCTCTGCAATATTTCCTTCATGGCCGCTTCAATTCACACCACCTTTAAGTCACCACAATGGACCTGTCGCTGATTCCTTTCAGTGTAGCGTAAATGCGTCTCTGTTCCTGTAGGGTGCGCCATGGATTGGATTTCAGTAGGTAGAGTAGAAGTAATTGAATAACTTCCACATTATACTTCCACGTGATTTCTGTGCGGTTGGTCTCTACGTGACATACTTAGTGGAAACCTCATAGAAAGCGGCTCTGAAGAAGGCGAAATCCGCCGAAACGTCAGCTTAATCGTGAACAAAGAATAGTAACACCTCGCGTTTGCTCAACAAAAATACGAAGAAAATCACTGTTTTAGGGTTTCTTTTAGGTTTAGTTTTTCATTCGTTGTTTTGCTGGCTTATATAGGTCCATTTTTATCAATGGTTTTGATGAATTATTTAAAACTCGGTAAACTAAAATAATCGGCTCTGAAAAAGACGATAACATCGAAACGTCAGCCGAATAAGTATTTTTATCAACCTTGTGTTAGCCTAGTAGTCCAAGAAGGTATAATATAGGGCGGGTTTTAAGACCACTAAAACATTTTCTGAGCTTTCTAGTTAGGTTAAATTCTAATTACCTACTTGAATACTTGGACGGCCCATCATCATTAGTTGTGCGGGCCCCAACATATTCTTCACTTTTCGGAGTTTTTCTGGCTTAGCTATTGTGTTTTCCTGGAGTCCCCAGGTTAGCCTAGCTAAAGTATGCCCCAGGTCGTCACCACTACAGGCAGTCGCAGCGCTTGTGCAGCAGAAGGAGATTTGCTACAATGCAAGTAGTTTGACACCACGACGGTGATCGGTTCTGGTATTGGTTTACTCTTCGTTAGGCTTTCTGTCAGAAAATTCAAATTAACTAAGAGAAATTCCAATCTTATTACTAATAAAACTTTTTTACATTTCCCGCTAACATTTTCACACCATCCGTAATCACGCTGATAGTGGTTGATGTAAACCAGGTGGAAAAAATAGAAACAAATATTTATAGAGAAATATTTACACATTTATTTGGATGATTAGATGATTGGTCTTCAAATGTCGTGCAGCCCCCCGTTTCCTTCGTCGTTTCGCATTGACATTGGTGCCGGTACTGCTAGACTGAAAAGAGATTTACTGCATTGTGATTACTTCCGACTCATTACTCACACGTTGTATTACTTGATGAATCGACAAATACCTGTGATATTTGAGGATGTGCTTTCAAGAAAAAAGGAATACAGTACCTCATTAGCTCGCGCTTCATCGTGACAAGGATTGTGACTAGTTGTTCTACGATGTGAGCACAGTATTGTCCTATTCACTCTTCGGCTAGTTCACTAAGACTGACTTGGAGAACGACATCCGAAAGCCCATCCAAGAGTATATTCATGCGGTGAGACGTCAACACGCATTCTACCGACTTCTTTGGCTGTTGTCTCACTGACGGTGACTTGAGAATATCCTGGTATGGCCATCTTGGGAACAAGGAAAAGAAAACGCTTACTTAATTAGTAAAATATCAGTTAAATACAGATTGTACTGCTATGGCTCTACAAGAATCTGTTCGGATTTGTGTGCACATTCAGTTGTGGTCGAGTATAGTACTCTCCGGAATCCTGTTATAGCCTTGCTAGACACTTTCGAAATCTTAATTGTAGATATTCGCATTCGCAGGTCTTTGTGAATGGGAGGTAGTTTTTCATAGCGGAATCTGCTTCCAATTTTCCGACTCCGAATAGGTGACAATTTGCTTGGCTTAGGACACTGCTGAACCAAGGACTGCCGCTTCATTGCAAGGCATTTCTAATCACTGCAATGCACGAGATTTGAATACAATTTCCGTCTTCTACTTAACAATACCCAGAAAAAGTCTTTCAGCATGAAATAAAGAAATTCCACTATGAGGGTTCAAATCATCGATTAACGAGGTTAACTTTTTTCCTTATTTCTTTCTACTTCTGTTCAGCAAACACGAGGTGCTGTTTTATTTCTTTATTTACGCACAAGCTCACGTTTCGGCGGATTTCGCCTTCCTCAGAGCCAGGAAGGGTCAAGTTGATAGCAATCCACTCGGCCAAACACCTCCATAACCAAACAGAGAAAACGCTAAACCAAGATTTCAATCACATTGGACACAGCTCCGCACACTCACCGCTTTCTATGAGTCTTCCACTGAGTATATCGCGTGAAGACCGACCGCACAAAATTCACATGGAAGCATAATGTGCCCTTCCCATCAGAATAACAGGTTTATATACTGTCCAATATCACGCGTGATAACAAGGCATTCCTCCCTGCGGTTCATTTTCGAATTCTTGGAATTTATCCAGGATGCCTCTAGAGTTTTTCGCACTTGTGTTCTCGATTCTTGCGCGAGGATCGTAACCCTTACTTCAAAATCTTCTCCGTTATGTTTCTGCGTGCTATGCGTACCTAGTGGAGTACTTAGCTTGCGTTTACCGACTAGGTGTTCTTTTATACGTACGCAGAGTGGTCTACCCGTTTCGCCAACGTATTCGTCCCCGCACGCTTTACAAGAGATCAGATAGACTGTACCCGAACTCATGCAGTCACCGTCTCTACCATTGGGGCAAATTATGCAATTTTGCGTTGCACATAGACGGTCGTATAGGCGGTTACGAACTAACTGGCGCCTTAGATTATTCGGTGGTATTTCGATTATCGTTACCGAATTCTCTAGACTGGTCCTTCTTAAACAGCGTTTTATAGCTGCACTTACTTCATTTGAAATAAAGGGCAGTATAAACGGGACCTTGTTGTCGCTAGAGTTATCGTTGGGGTACCTGTGGTTTCCTCTACACCTATCTGGAGCTACGGTTTCGTATCCATTAAAAATGGCTATTTGCCGCGCCAAGTTCCGGGACTCCTCTCTCTGTTGTCTCCCTGTGCACACGCTGGTAGCTGTTCAATACATGTTTCTCACAAGCGCCCTTTTCGTGTGAGAGGGATGAGAGGAGAGGTAATGAACCAGGATGTTTTTACTACTTGGCTTTCGATACCACTTCGTAATGTAGCCGTTTTCTGATAGGCTAATTTGCACGTTCAAAAATNTCGGTGGTATTTCGATTATCGTTACCGAATTCTCTAGACTGGTCCTTCTTAAACAGCGTTTTATAGCTGCACTTACTTCATTTGAAATAAAGGGCAGTATAAACGGGACCTTGTTGTCGCTAGAGTTATCGTTGGGGTACCTGTGGTTTCCTCTACACCTATCTGGAGCTACGGTTTCGTATCCATTAAAAATGGCTATTTGCCGCGCCAAGTTCCGGGACTCCTCTCTCTGTTGTCTCCCTGTGCACACGCTGGTAGCTGTTCAATACATGTTTCTCACAAGCGCCCTTTTCGTGTGAGAGGGATGAGAGGAGAGGTAATGAACCAGGATGTTTTTACTACTTGGCTTTCGATACCACTTCGTAATGTAGCCGTTTTCTG